GTTGCTGTGAGCTGTAATGCCACGGCACTCTACCCAGGGGGACAGCTTGAGGCTCTGTCTCAAAAAAAAAAAAAAAAAAAAAATTTACTTCTGTAATGCCAATTTTATTTTAGTGAACTAAAATAAGTTAAGCCATGCTGCATGAAAAATCATCTCTGAGATGGCTCTACTTTATTATAAATGACCTGCAAGCTAAGTCTTTTTTGTTGTTGTTGTTTTTTCTGTCACGTTTATGAATCTGGATGGGTCAGTCATATTACAAAGTGGGCCATATCTTTGGAATTTCATTTTCTGTCCACTTGAAATAAAGGTATATAATAAACTAAAAAAAAAAAAAAAATGTGGTGTCAGCCAGAGACTGGCTCCAGCCTGACCCCAAAGGGAGCTCTGGAGCACAAATTGCACCACAAAGAAGTTTTCCCCTGAGGTTCAGGGGTGGGGGGTACAGCCTTTTGTACCCTTGAATCTGTCACTCATCAGCCACAGTCTTGGGGTCAGAGGTGGCCACATGGCTCCTATTTGCACAAGGACAATTCTCAGAGAAGGTGGCTGCTGTGACTGGCTTCCATCCAGTACCTGCCACAGCTGGGGCAGATGCCTGCCACCTGGTCAAGGGGGTCTGGATGGGGCACTGATAGTGTCCCACACAATCTGCTTATCCTCATCAGCACAGACAGTGCTTTAAAATGCAGACATCAGCTTAGAGAAAAGAAAAATGTACTCTACGATCCATGTAAACTAGAAATCCGTATCACACAGTCACGTGGCAAATCTCAGCAGGATATTTACGTATTAAAGAATACATGCTAAGCACATTAGAATGGCTGCTTGTGGTGGGATGGAAATGCGAGTGGGAACTGGGACTAAAATAAAACCAATCAAAATGTAGGGAAGCACAATAAACCGGGTGATGATAGTATAATAAACAGATGAAAATGCTAATGATAGTCTATGATGAAGGAATAAGCATAATCAACATTTCTTTGCTTCTGATAGTCAAAATGGAAAATAAAAGATCTTTGCAGACTTTAAGATAAGGTTGTCATTTCTCAGTTCCCTTTATTCTTTTTTGGGCTGGGAATGGAGGCTGGCTTTGTAAAGGGAATAGCAAGTGTCAGAGAGAGAACCTCTGACAGAGAGTTAGGGTTCTTTAATTTGTAAGAGCTGGAAGCATGGCGCAAAGCCTGTTAGGCACAGGGGAGAATGTATTGGCTCTTGAACTCCGAGGAAGAGGTGAATAAATAACCCCCTGGACCAGATAGGCAGAGATGGAGCCGAGTCTCAATAACCCCCAGAATGATGGAAGCGGTGGCTCATCCTGGCACTTTGGGAGGCTGAAGTGGGACAATTATCTGAGGCCATGAGTTTGGGACCAGCCTGGGCAACATAGTGAGATCTGGTATCTA